CTGTCCACTGAGCCACTAGTCATATTCAGACAGTTGGAAATATCTGCAGTTGTGCCACAGACACATTACATTTTTAATTGTTTCCAAGGTCTCTCCTAAAAACCATAAACACTTCTATTCTAAGGACGTGCATTCTGAACAGTTGGCAACATTAAGGGTGATTTCATATTCATGAAATTATACCAAGAAAGGCAAAAACCTGAAGGATAAATGAAACAAAACTAGCTACTTAGCAGCTGCTCAATTGGTATTTGTTAATTAAAACTTAACGTAAATTTTTTATTCAACTTGCTTCTCTATCACAGTGCCTGTTAATAACTTACCTGGATCAACCAAAGCTTTGTTAAATATTTCTTTAAGTTTCCTACTCTTCACATTCCTTCCTTGAGCAAGATTTCTGTACATCTCATAACCTATGATCATAACACCACCATCTTCTTGCCACCTCTGAAGCATGTAGCTTCTCTCCTGAGGACGTTTTACAGTTGCTAATTCAGAGACCTTTTGTGGGAAAATAAAGATTTTTAAAAGTAGATATTAGTAATGTATAAATGCTAAATATCCTCATTGAAATATATGTCACTGGTAAAAAAAAAATCTTTTTAGTATACTAATTTCATCCAGATATTTTAATAATTAAAATGATACCTCAAGCTTCTCATCATCTTTTAACCCCTCTTGCCACTTCTCAAATTCATTCATCCAATTCAAAGCAGTATTAAGAGGACAAACCACCAAAGCTGTACTGAAATCCAATTTCTCACACAAAAGAACTGTATGAAGAAAACTTACTACCTACAAAAAAACAAATGATATCAATATCTGCAAGAAATTAAATCAAGCAATCTTACAATTCAATAGTTGTTTCAGTTTGTTTGTTTCTGCTTTAAACAATAAAGCAGCTAACCAAAGCTCACAACTTCCAAACCAGGCAAAGTACAGGGGAAGAGATATCCTATGTAAAAAAAAAAAGTGTGTGTGTGTGGCGGCCAGGACACGGCCCTTCGCCCAGAGCGTAGATAGTGCCTTTTCCACTGGTCATCCCCCCAACAAGGGTAACAGACGGCACTGCCATCCTATATAATAAAGAGCTAATACGCTAATTAGACCAAACAGCAGAACGACGGGTGGAACAACCATTCAAACAACCTTCCGGACAAAGCCAGGGCTGCCAGGGCTGGTTGAGGCAGCCAGGGCTGCAAAGGCCTACTCTTGCATGAATTTCATACATCGGGCCTCTAGTATGAATATAAGAAGTGAACACACCAAAACAGCTACTAAGTTCCTGGCCTCCACAGAACATTCCTACAACCTTTCAAAAAATACCACTGCATTTAACAGACAATTGTGTTATGAAGTACTTTTCCATTTTTAAGTGTTCTGAATCTATAATAATTATCTTATGGTTTAAAATACATACATTCACTAATTTCCCTTCTCTGTTACAATTCCTGACATTCAGAAATGTCGTACCTTAATAGTGAAAATATTTAAGGTTCTCATTACTACAGGATGACAGACTGTTAAAAAGTGTTAAAGAAAATTCATTTCTACCTCAGAATCTCAGCAGTTTTTACTGGCTATGCTTGTAATGCCATTCCTTCTCTTAACTAGGATCTCTGCTCAAATATCACCTCCTAAGAAATGCTTTCCTCCTTATTTTCCCTTAACACTTGTTATCTGAAAATATACATTCTTATTTTGATTAAAATCTCTCTCTACCACCAGAATATAAGCTTTTAGGGGGAGGGATCTTGTTATTCTTATTTACTGCCTTATCTCCACCCCTATAACTGTCTGAAACATAACAATCCTATATTCTTAAATTAATAAATGCACAAGAACAGAATACCTTCATGTTCGTACCTGTAAAGTCTTACCAAGGCCCATGCAGTGGGCTAGAATACAACCTGAACCTGGAGATTTCTTTGTTTTTTTAACAGACTCACAGCAGCAATCCCACATAAACTGAACACCTAAAAAGAATAGCCTCATTAAGTTCAATTTAAAGGCCCAAGTTAAAAATCTTCATAAATATATCAAAAACATTAACAATAAGAAAACATCTAGGAAATAGAATTTTTAAAACAAATAAGTAATCTCTTAAACATAAATGAGGATTCCCCCCAATGCAAACCTCCCCCAGTGAACTAGAAAAAAAGACAGTGAAAACAAGCACACAATAAGGTGACTTTCCTTCATTCACCTTATCTAACTTATACAGACCACCATTCCCTGGGATGGTCCAAAGAAACATACAAATAATCTAAAATAGAAACTTTATCCAAAGAAGAAACAGATTCTATCAAATATACTTCCAGGTTTATTGAGTAAATCAATAAAATAACAGGAGATAATTTAACATTACTCCATTCATTAGTAAAGACTGAACAAGAAAGGGGGCTGGCTACCCAAGAGTAATAACTGTAGAACTTCCTTTACTCAAAACTGACTTACTGATTCCACTCTAACAAAGCAGAGAATAGAGGTCATTTGTTAACTTTCTAATACTAATATAGAAAAATTATTAACAAATGTACCTCAAAATGTTGAAATAGCATTGCCTGACAAAGATTTTAGCTAACTAACTCCCCACCACCACACTGCTGACCGTAGTCAACCACTGCAGACCAGGTGAGATACACTTGCCATATATATCCATTTGTAAGTGGCACTTACTTCCACTTTTGTTAACACTCACTATCATTGTAATCATTCAATTTTTTTCTTCCTCATTTGCTTATATGCTCCATAAGAGCATGGATCTCATGTTTGTTTTGCGCACCAATGTACCTCCAGTGCTTAGTAGAATATGAGGCACACAGAAGACACCAAATGTTGGTAAAACTTAATTTAAAATGCTTAATCATCTAACAGTTTCTTACCATCTACTTGATGGGGTTTCAATTTGATAACCATATTTCTATGAACCTGTACTAATGGTTCTTTAGTTTCTTCATCTTCATCTAAAACCAACTTGGTTGTTATTGGACACTTGGTAGGAGAAGCATCTTCTATTTCTATCACCTACAAGAAAGGGAACTATAGTTAAGCTCAAAGAAATCTTGCGAACAAGGGTAGAGTATTACTCTTAGTAAAAGAAATTTTTCAAAATATAAGCATCTACTTTGAAACCACACATCCAATATTTTGGCTTCAGAAGACCAGGACAGATCACAGGTTTACATGATTTCCAAAGTTAAAAAAACCTCCACAAGACTTAGAAGCACTGTGGTAATGTCTGTGATTTATCTCATCATTTCTCACCCTGGATATCTCAATACATGCCATAAGTAGAGTACTAGAGTTGTACTGAGTTGAGGAAACAAAAGTAAAGAAGAACTACAGAAACTACAGAGAACTATAGAGAAAAAAGAGCTACACAAAAGACCTCCAGAAATCAAGATGAGAGTCACTGAATTTTAGCTGAATATTAAAATGTATATGAGGAGTAAAACTGCACAAAACCAGACAAAGAGTGATTCAGGAGATATGAGTTAAACAGTCCGCAATGATCAGAGGTCTAGAAAGCATGCAATTAAAGACACAGCAGAGTAGAGAGTCTTTATGCATAACTGAGGGCATTCAATATAGAACAGAGAAGGGCCACACAATAGCAATTGGGCAAAACCATACATAAAGGGTATTTAAGACAACTTAACAAAGCTTTTAAAAATATATATCAAAGCTTTTAAATACACACACACACACACACACACACACACACACACAATATTAAACTGAACTTAAAGTAACTTAAATGCCTGTAGAGAAAAATGCCAAGCACCCTCTAATAAAAGACTACAGACACTCAACAACATCCAAATTACAATATCTTTTTAATGAAACATTACTAGATATGTCAAGAAAGAGTAAAATATGAAAAACCAGGAGAAAAATCTTTTAACAAAAATGGAACAAGAAGGGATAGAGATGTTGGAATTGGCAGACAAGCACAGTAAAACAGCTGTAACTTATGTCCCAACACTGAAAGGAAAACATGAACACAGAAGAGAAATAAAAGATATAAAAATAACGAAGTGGAATTCCTAGAGACAAAAACTAAGTATCTAATATTAAAGAGTCATTAAATGAGATTAATACCACAATAGTACAAAAGAAAGTATCAATGAACTTAAAGCCAAAGCAAAAGAAATTATCCTCAGCCCTGGCCTGATGGCTAGATGGAGTATTGCATTGTCCCATGCAACAATAGGCTGTGGTTTTGATTCCCAGTCAGGTCATAGAACTAGGTTGTAGGGTTTGATCCCCTGTCGCAGCGCTTACAGGAGGCAACCAATTGATGCTTCTTTCTCACATTGATGTTTCTCCCTCTCCAAAAATCAACAAAAAACATACCCTCAGGTAAGGATTAAAAAAAGAAACTAAAGTGAAATACAGGAGGAGGAGAAAATGGCGGAGGTTTAGAGGGACATGTCGATACCTTGTCCCGGAGCAGATAAGGGCGAGCAGCTGAAACGGGTAGCATACATCCCGAATAAGCAGAGGAGATTCAGCTGAGAGACAGTCTGCAGCCAGGAAAGACGGAGAACTCCTAGATAAAGGGAACAGTTAGAGGCTGAGGCTGAGACCTCTCCAGGTGCGCCGGCTCAGCCGTGGAGACTGTGCCATCTTGAGTGGCTGTCACTGGCATCCAGAGACCAGCTCCTCACCCC